AAAAATGGGTGTATACCATAACAGGCTCTTCCCATCTCTAATCTAAATAAACTATATTGGACTTCCCTTGTATTAAGTTCTGCATCAGAAAACATCTGTTGACAGCATAATAATATTTTCATCTTCAGGTCGATTAACTTGCACACCAAGAATGTCATCCCTGCTATCAACAAAAATTAACAAGCTAATTCAAGCCATGCTTGCCAGTCTTTATTGGTTTTCTGTGTATAGTACAACAAGTCTGTGTCTGTGCATAACTTTGCATCCACGTGTTATGGTGTGTATCCAGACACGGTGTACACCCATGGAAAACGTTGTTTAAAGGGGGTAATTTAAAAATCTTCCACTCCACTGGACCTGAAAGCTGAACTACTTAATGTACCATGAGGCTGCTGGATCGCGGTAGCCCTCTACAACAATAACCTAGCCTCCAGCAGTAAACTTAAAACGTACTGCCTAACTACATGTAATATAAAACTATTTTCCATTCCCGTGTAATTACACATGTTCGATTTTAAACTCTAAACATATGCATAACATTGAGATTTAAAAGGTAAACACAAAATGTATAAAAATGGTTGTGTACATGTATGTGGCAATTGATTACCAGGTAATTATGCCGGCTAGAGTCTATATTATCGCCTATTGTCTGCATGCTTTGTTGATTGAATGCGGTGTTTCATATCTAAGCTGTGAACTTTCTAAGGTCAAGGTGATGAATTTGAATTCTTATTTGGAATTCTATATCAAACCACGGAACTTAAAAAGCCTATGTTCAAACTAATGCAGAATGAATAGTGACCATTGGTAGGAGAAATTCTTTGATAAGATGACTTAAAACAGCGCGAAATGTTAATTCATCTCTGTCTGTATCCATATGGCAGAGCAATCATTTGTAAAACCTTGTACATTTCATGAATCAATCAAATGTCCATATGGCACACAAGTAATAACTAAAACTATTGAAGACTAGATGTCATGCATATTAAAGTAATGATAAAAAATAGCCCTTCTGTATTTGTATTTGTACCTATTGTCTCGAGAGCAACTTTGATGTTCCCGATCAAAACCAACTTTGATGTTTCCGATGAAAACCAGGAAGTAAATAAGCAAATATATCTCAGCATATTTTGAATAATCTTGTGAATTTGTTTTGATATTTGGTTGAAATGAATTTACATGTGTTCATGTTTATTTCAGAGTGCTACACTGACTATAGACGATTGTGATACCGCCATGGCCGTGCAGTTTGGGAACGTAATCGGTAACTATACATGCGCTAATAAAGTCGTGTTACAAGGAACGGATTTCAGGTGAGTACAACAGCAGGAAATATAAGATTACATCAAACAATACTTGCACTGTAATATACTGTAAAATACTTTTATTTTCGCTTGGAATTAATTTTTGCTATTTTCGCTGAAGGGATGATTCAGTGAAAATAAAATCCTGCGAATATACATTTTTTCCTATGTTTTACATTCAACTTGTCAAAAATCAGCGAAAATAAATTCCATACAAAGTGTTTTCAGCAAAAATTAATTCCAGCTAAAATAAAATATTCTACTGTACTTTCCTGTGAATGTCTTTGTGCTCAAAAGTGTGCAGTGTATGAAATAGTCATGTAAACTTATTTGTAAATACAGTTCTACTGTTGTAATACTTTATTTTAACTGGAATTAATTGTGGACAGTTTGGCTGTAATTTATGAAGTTATTATGGATAGTTGAGTTGAATGTAAAAAAAGCTAATTTCACTGATTTTCAGCAAAAATTAATTCCAAGTGAAAATTTCATAATTTTGATATCAAATGTACATTTACAGCAGTGTTTCCTTAACTTTTATTTCTGTATATATTGTTTGCAGATACATTACTAAAATTGGTGTCAATTTAATAATTTACATTTATCTGCAACCATGTATTTATCGGTAAATGGAAAAAGTGTATAAAATAATGTTTTTTGTTGATTTCAGATTCCTTGATCTAACTGGACCATTCATGTTGGGAGGGTTAGCAACCTTACCTGAAGATTTCCCTGTTAAAAACCGTGACTACATAGGTTGCATCAAAGATGTTTACATTGACCATAGGCTTCTAGACTTGGCTAGTTTTGTTGCTAATAATGGCACTGTATCAGGATGCGATGCCAAACGAGACTTCTGTCAGAGTAATCCTTGTGAAAATGGAGGTACTTGTACAAGTGAATGGAACAGATACTCATGCACATGCAGAAATAACTGGGGTGGATCAAACTGTCAAGAAGGTGACTTACTCTCTATTCTTACCTTTGTCATTTAGTGTCTATGATTAAATATGTCAGTTGTCGTCGTTGTTGGTGTTGTTGTCGTCGTTGTTGATGTTGTCGTTGTTGGTGTCGTCGTCGTTGTTGTTGGCTGCGGCGTTGTCGTTGTCATCGTCGTTGTTGTCTGCGGCGTTGTCGCTGTCATCGTCGTTGTTGTTGGCGGCGTTGTCAACTTTGTTGTTGTTGTTGGCAGGATTGTCGTCGTTGTTGTTGTTGGCGTTAACATAACTTGTGTCCCATTCTCATTTATGTCTATATAGGTAAGTGTATTTGTCAGAACAGTTCATACTTTTGATGTGTATATCCTTATTCCTGTCAATAGCATAATAGGTTATTTTGGTCTCAGTTGCAATGGCTTGTTGACAATCTTAGTCACGGCCTGTTCTATGTGTGGGTCATGCCCATTGACATACACCATCATAAAATCAATATTTGTTTCTGTTGCAGCCAAACCTGGTGATATGCGTTTCTATGGTGATGGGTATGTCAAGTTTCCTGGGAGTACGACAGCTATACAATTGCCTTGGAGAAACAGTTTGATGTTCCGTACAAGACAGGAGAATGGCTTCTTGATGATGGTAGCTCCAGGAAGTTTTGCTGCTGCTCACCTAGAGGTATGTATGAAAGACAAGCTAAATATTAAAATAGACTCAGATTCATCCTAAACTCACTGAAAGTACTTCTTTTAACCTGTTAGGGCAAGCTGGCTATTAACAAATCAAAAAGCTGTGTAGTGCAAGCCAAACATATTCTGCAGTTTTCCGGATATTGTTGATGGCTATGAGACATGGAAGTCATTTATCAATGTTGCATATGATCTTTTGGCATTGATTCTCGTGGAAAAACAGCAGTTTTTTTTAAGTAATTGGAAATTTTTGAAAAATAAACTGAACATTTGAAAAAATATTTGACTCTTTCCGATGTGAAACAGCTCATTGTCAAAATGGAGTTTACCCATTCACGCAACAGTCTGGTCCTTAGAGGGTGCTTATTATGACTACCTTCTAATTTTATCGTATCCAACAAGAATTTTAGGGAAGAGTAGGAAATCAAACTCGCGGTCATTACCGCGGTGGTGGTGGGTGCTCGCCGGTCGACCGCATTTTATGCAAATTTATGCATAGATTCCATGACCCCGGTTTACCGCGGTCGTGTGCGGTAGGCTCGCATGGCAATTTACACCCTATTGTTAAGACTATGAATGGACACAATAGACTGGGAAACTAAAGGTTACTTGCCGCCAAGTTCAAATAATAAAAATCGAGTGGTACCAGAAGA